GCGCTGTGGCTCAAGTGGTAGAGTGCTAGCCTTGAGCTGAAGAGCTGAGGGACAGCGCCCAGGCCCAGAGTTCAGGCTCCATGACCAGACCCCCCCCCAAAAAAATGGATAGCAAGCCCCTAAGAGGGTCTTTGTGATCACATTGTGAGACCTGTAGCTTACTCTCTCAAAGCTCTTTGCAAGCACTTTTTGTAGACCTAAAACCAGGAAATGAGATTGTGCTTTTAAATTGCTATGTTTCTTAATGAAAAAATAAAAAGCTTTTAAAGGTAACTGATAGCTGGTACTGTGTCTGCAGTCACACAGCTCGTCCAGGTTTAAGCCTTGAGTATCTTCTGCCCAATTTCTATACCTTCCGTCAGAAAATAGATATAAGCTAACATTACTTTGGTAAACATCAGTTTAAAAATGTGTTTGGCACTTCGGATTTTTTTAATCTTGAGAGGAGTTTTCCTTTTTTTTTTTCTTGAGAGGTTGCTCGTGTTTATTTTCAAAAGACTGTCAGAGCTGCAAGCTAGCTCAAGTGGTACCACTCTTGTCTAAAGAGGCTATCCACAGAAGTATCCCATAATAATAAATGTACTTGTGGTAAGTAGAGACTTAAAAATTCATTCATAGAATAGAATTAGAAATGAAGAAATGAGAGAATATGAGCTCATCGGAGTTAGGCTCAGTGAACGGAGCACAGCAGTGGTTTATAGCCCGACTTTATGACCTTGATCAGTTCATCATTCCAACTTACTCTCCTTATTTGAAAAAAACAAAAACAAACTTTGGGACAGATCTTATAGTCAAATACTGCCTGTAAGCCTAGTTACTCACGAGGTGGAGGTCTGGAGTAGTGTGGTTCAACACCATCCCAAGCAGAAAGGTTTGCTAGACTCCATTTGCAAAACAGCAAAACAAATCAAAGGTGGAAGTGTGACCCCAGTGGTAGAGCATCAGCCTAGCTGGTTGTGGTGTTGAATTCAAACCTCAGTACCGGTCCCCCCACCAAGTGGTTTACATTAAAGCATTGTGATGCGGGACCTGACTTTGGGAAACACTATGTAAATTACATGTGCGTTCCAATGGTTAGGAATGGCTATGTTTATCATCACTGGTCAAGTCTGACAGTTATAGCTGGCCAGTCAGGTTTACAGAATAAATAACTCCTCTTTCCCCACTAGATGGCAGGCACGCCACTTCCCACAACACTGACTGGATTAGGGATCTAAAAACCATAATGATATTCTGCTTTGTGAGACAAAGGACAAATTCGAAGTCATGAAAAACAGAGACAGCTTGTAATATTTTTTTTAAAGTCTCAGTCGAACACTATTGGTTTGCAATTTACCAAAATTTGCTATCTATTGAAAGCACGTCTTTTTCATTTGACCATGACTAAAGAACAGCTAAGCAAATACTTTTTCAAATAAGGGCAGTATTTAGCCCACTTAAACTTACAGCTAAGAGACTTAATGATCATTTGTAGCACCACTTGGCAGGTAATGGCTTCATCAGTGTCAGAGGTTGACAAACTTCCTTTGTCAAGAGCTGTATAGCAATTATTTCCAGTTTTGACGGCTACATGGTCTCTCTGTTGAAATTACTTCACTTGACCCAAAACAGTGTGGAATGATACAGAAATGATTGGGCATGGCTAAGGTACCAAAAACTTCACTTTCACTCGTCACAAAATATGATTATTCTTTTTGAATTTTTGATCATTTAAAATGTAAAACATTCTTGACTTAGGTAGTAAGCAATATTTCACAAAAGCCTTGTTTAATGTTTAGACGCCAGAGTCTTCTATCAGATTGGCAGCCGCCTCAAAGCCTGTGTATGTGTCATAATACATGTCAGTAGGTTTCTATTGCAGATACATAAATTACTAAAAATGCAGGTGGTATTTTTTTTTTTGCCTATCTCCTTTTAAGACTGGAGACAAGTTTTTCAAATAAGCTTTGCATTTGTTCATGGAGTTGTCAGAAGAAAATATTCCCACTTCAATTTGAATTTCTGTTAAGGACAATTTTGGATACCAAATTTGTATACCAAATGTTGGATAGGATATAAATAAAAAATAGGCCCTCTTTATTCCCAAGAGATACATTCTGAAACCGTCAACTGAATGCCTGAAAGTATGAATAGTACTGAAGAATCTAGGTATGTCACTGAATCCTATAGAAACTACCGTATATGTACATGTCAATTTTAATGTTTTTTTTTCCCATCATTCACTAAGCACATATGCACGAAGGCTATAACTTTTGTAAGTCAAAAGTGTGATAGCAAAACTAGCACAAATTTTAACTAATTAACATATTTTTATTTATTTGTTTATTGATTTATTTTATTGTGAAAATACTGCATATTTTTCAATTGATGGTACTGGGGTTTGAACTTGGCCTTCTACTCACCAGGCAGCTGTTCTAACAGTGGAGTTACACCACTATCCAATTAATTTTTTTAAAATTGTAGAAAGCAGACAGCTTCATTTTGATATTCCCACCCATGCATATATTATTCCTTAATCACATGCAAAGCTTCCGTTTCTCTTCCCTTGTTTCTCTTCCCTCTTCTCCTTTTTCTCCCGTTTACTTTCATGTCCTGCCTGCCACCACATTCCACTTATGAAAGAAGACATGATGCTTGTCTTTTCCAAACTGGCTCATTTCACTTCACATGATGTTCTTTGGTTCCATCCATTTTCTGCAAATTTAGCATGATTTTTTTTTGCATTCTTTACAATCTCTATGTATAGATTTGCTTGTATGTTAGATATTACTACCTTAGCACATCGTTTTTTTCTTTCCTTGTTAAGTTTATAGCTTTGATCTTTTCACTTGAAGGAAGGATTTTTTTGGCTTTTAAAAAAATATATTTTGGGACTATCATTAAATAAATGGTTTCTTGAACACAGCACAGTGATTCTGGGACAGTCATTTTGGTGATTGAGGTAGCTATTCAGTGACTTGACACAATGATGATTTCTGTGTTCTGGGTGAGGTAAAGCAGGAAGGGGCAAATTTTATCATAATATAATACCTAATCGTGTAATAGCTACAGTTTATGTTTGCTATGTGGAAATTTCCACACAGTATTTTGGTAGTATGGTTGTGGCTAAATGAAATGTGGAAAACTTCAGATAAGGCAGAACTACTGTATTAAAAACAAAGTATTTGCTGTTTAGCTGAGATCCAATTTTAGTTGAGTGAGTTGAATTTCCAGATGCGAAATCTGAACTTTGTTCTTGTGTGTATAGGCTTTGCCCAATCTTCATTTATTAAAGGTGTGAAAATAGTGAAATGTCTGGAGACAGGAGTCCTGAAGCAAAATAGATCTTTAGGATCCTAGTGCCATCAAAACATATTGTCTGCCTTTGTTTTCAGTGAACTGATTATTTTCAGTGCTGGGGGTGGAAAGCTAGGCAACAGCTCTGCCTCCACAGAGCTGTATTCTAGTGCTTTCCGTGCCCTTGCCTGTAATAAGAAATCAGTGTTTCACTTCCAGTGTCTGGGCTGCCAGTTTCGGGTGGCTAGGTCTTATTACATGTTTTGTAAGAGACTCCAAGCTGCCTGTGGATAGACATTTACATTTTTCTTTTGATGGCGTTGCAAAGAAATGTAGAGTGAGAGGTCCTATAGAGATTGGGCAGGAAGAACAAACCCCGTACCACCGCTTCTATGCGGCTGGCATGATGAAGTAGTCCATTTCCCAGCAGAAACCCTGTCCGTCTTTCAAACCTTTTCAGCCCTCTTGTTCTAAGTGGGCACAGGCAGTGATTAGTCCCGTCTGGTCTGCTTTAATTGGGGTTATTAGGTATGTCTTGTCATTCCCTTCTGGCATGGAATGGTAACCCATATTTCATTCCTTTGGTGACTTCAGGAAACACATTGAATATGAATCCCGCCTGCATCTGATTCCTCTTCCAGCTTTAGCGTTGGAGTGTGGTGTGCTGGGTTGTGAATCGCGTCAGCGATCGCTGCCACTACTGAAAAACAATCCCATCTCTGGTCCTAAGATAGTTAAATCCGCCTCCCGGGGGCCTCTTTCAGGGAGGAAGGGAGCGGGGCGCCGGTGGAGTGTCTGTGGAAATGAGCGGCCCCCCGGGCTGAGGTCGGAAGTGACCGCACAGGGTCCTGCCACCCAGGCTGGGGAAGAGTCCGCCGTGCATGCAGCGGGAGGGGCGGTGGGCGGGCTGTGGGCTGGAGGGGTAGGGGGGGAAGGCTGTGGCGGGCGGGCGCAGCCCGCCGCTGGGACAGCTCTTTTCCCAGGCAGCACTGAAGGGCGTGACAAAAAATGTGACCCGCCGTGCTGTGTGTAGCGGCCGACACCGGAGCTGGCACAGTTGGGAAGTGGACAACGTTCAGGTATTTGGCTGTTAAGCCAGGGTGGTTTCTCTTGGGGTGCCACAGAAGATGAGGACTGAGCATTTTGGCTTTCCAAGCCGGCCTCCTCGCCTGTCTGTGCCCCAGGCCGGGCCTCCCTTCCCTGCAGGCGTGGAGGTTCTACTTCTCCTGACGAAACCACGCCCCACCTTTTTGGCCAACTTCAAAGCACCTGGATCTTAACTAGATCCGGTGCAGAGAGGCTCTGGCCTCTGGCACAGCATCTGAAGAGACAGCAAGACCTTCAGTAGGTGAGATGCAGATTTGTTTTTAAATGCATTCCTTTGAAAATTCCAGGGTTAGGCCCCACATTTCCTAAGGAACAAAAATGTAAACTGATCGAAAGCGGGGATCTGACCCTGCCTTTGAACAGCTCAGTCTCTCGGGCCAGACCCTAATTGCAGGCTAACTGAAACAACTCTAAGTGACTTCCCTCCCCCCCACGCCCGCCCGTGTGTACCACTGTGGAACAGAAGGAGTTGGGTTGTTTTTGTTGTGCATTTGCTTTCCCCACCGTTTGGTGATTGGTGGGGACTGAAACTTTCTCACCTGGTGCCTCAAGGGGCTGCTTTTGCTGTCTGTCCAACGCCAGGTAGGGACCATATGCAATTGGAGAAGGCCGAAGGGGAGAGTTTATGCAGTACCCCGAAATCGATGTGGCACACCTTCCAAATGCACCCTGCAGTGGGCTGGGGAGGGGGAGGGGGATAGTGTTGCATTCCCGTAATAAGGAATGATTAAGAAAGAATTCTGTACTCACATGGAATATACATTTTCTCAAAGAGCCCCAAGAATCAGAGGATGATTTTAGAAATCATTGTGCAAAAGGGCGCCTCGCAATGCTGTGTTTGGGGATAGGAGGGTATTTCTTTGTAAGTGGCCTGCAATATTCCGTGATGCTCTCATTCAGTCCGAATTTGCAATGAATTAAACAACGGTCATAACGTTCATACTCACCAATTTACCATATTTCCCCCCCATAACTTATTTAACTTTCGCAACAGGCAGGCACAATCTGTGGTAGGTACAGAGGGACAAAAACGGGATGGAGGGGTCTCGGATGTCTGTCAATACATATTGATTGGAGCCATTTTGTACATGTGTTGTGATGTTTCATGCTTTTTAAATTAATGGTGGTGAGAAGTATCTCAGGAGTACTGCTTACTAGTTCCTTCCTTTCATCTTTTGTAGCTGATGAATTGTAATATATGTAATATAAGGAATGGGGAATTGAGGTAGAGATTAGGAAGTAATATGTAGATAATTTTTTTTTAAAGAAAAATCTTTGGAAACTGGCTGATCCTTTAAAAGAAGAAAAAAGAATTTGGTGGAATACCTGCACACTCCTTGACTTGCTAAAAAGAGTTTGTGCCCTGTGAAGGGCTGTTAAATCCACATCCTAAATAAAGGAGGAAGTAATCTCTAAGGAATTATAGTAGTCTTTCTTAGTGCTGAAAATCTCACTAGTTTAATTCTTCCACTTTTCAGACCAAGTTTTGTTGTTCCATAGTTCGGCCAGCAGAGGGCAGAGTTGTTACATGGAACTTTTTGTTTTGTTTTTTGTTTTTGTTTCAGTGGAGAATTTTTGGCTAATTTCTTTACTAACATCCAGTAAGAGGGATGAATGATTTTCCATGAAAATTTAGGGCTGGGAATGTGGCACAAGGGGTAGAGTGCTTGCCTAGCATGGGTTCAATTCCTCAGTACCATATAAACAGAAAAAAGCCTGAAGTGGTGCCAACTCAGGGGGTAGAGGACTAGCCTTGAGCTAAAGAAGCTCAGAGACAGTGCCCAGGCCCTGAGTTCAAGCCCCATGACTGGCAAAAAAAAAGAAAGAAAAAGAAACTTTAATGTATACACAGATTATCACTTAGAATTTATAACTGAATATTTGGTTAATGGAAGGAAGAAAATGTCTCCTTTCCCTTTTTTTTTTCAGTCAGAGATTAGAATACCAAGGACAAATAATATAGTAGTAAATATCATCATTGTACTTCTAAATTGTTTTGGACATGGAACTTTTGCTCATAGGGACAATATTAACATTCAAATAAAGATAGTTGATATGTGGATTTCTATTATTCACTTAAAAGAATAAAAAACTTGTGAGTTTATGATTTTACTTTTTATGTAGACATCTGTGGCAAAATATGGTCTGACACTGGATACTTGTGAAGTAAAAATGTAAAAGGTTTATCATAAAATTAAATACCAATATGTGTGATTCTGAGTAGGATTTGGAGTGAAATCTATTTACTATGTTTAGCTAATATTTATGAAAATTTGCTAAAACAGTATATGGTTTGTAATGTATATGGTACCATTTTGAGATAGATGTATGAAATGAAAGGAAAATTCATATTGGATTGACTTAAACTCACACATTATTTTGGAATGTATAAGTTATTCTGGGTATTCTATTTTGATGATTTTGCACACTGACATTTTACAAATCATTTACTGTAAAAATTTTCTAATTTTGGGTGCCTCCTTTCTCATTTAGTGAGAGATTTTTTTGTTAGAATGATTTTGGAGCAGTTAAGAACTGTAAGAAAGAAAGTTGGATGGGGTGAATTATGACTCAATAGGCAAAGATTTAGGAGGAGTATCACATTTGGAAGCCACCCCAGAAAAAGTCCATAAAACCCAATATCAAGCAATAAGAAAAACCTAACAAACAGCATTAGTAGGATTCCAGTAGCTCACGCCTGTAATCTTAACTAATCAGGACACTAGGTTATGAGGATTGCAGTTTGACGCTAGCCTTGGCAGGAAAGTTTGTGAGACTTGAGCTGTGGCTCAATTGGTAGAGTGCTAACTTTGAGCACAAAAGCTCAGAGACAGCACCCAGTCCTTGCGTTCAGGCCCAGGACCAGGACACCATACACACAATCTGGCTATAGTGTGACTATCTTTGTTATATAGGATACATGAATATAATTGTGATCTAGTTTGGCCTAGGCAAGTAGCAAGAGCACCTATCTACCAAGTTCAAGGCCTTGGATTCAAACCCAAGCACTGCAAAAAAAGAATATAAGGGTCATTAGTCTCAGGTGTATGGTAATGGGTAAGTGTGGGGTGTGCAGAACAAGTGAATAGGTTTCAATTTTGGATTTTAGGGTTGAGAGTGTAGCAAAGTATCAGAGTGTGTACTAGGATGTAGTTGGCTCTAGTTTCTATTCCTAGCACTAAAAGAAAGATGAATCAATAAACATTTGGTTTTGTGAGATAGAGACCATTACTTAACCTCTATGAATCTCAGTTTTTTTTTTTCATATATGAAATACAGGCAGTAGTCTTCATACTTTCTGCAGTAATCTAGGGTTTGGAAATGTTGAACTCCAGCCCAAGGAAACTGAACTAAGGTGCAAACGCTCCAGAGTAAAGTAATGTTAGTGCTAATGAATGCTGGAAGTGAGAATAAGGACTGGGCACGAAAGAGTTAAGAATTCACTGCAGGGTTACTTAGAATCCGCTGAAGGCATTTCAGCTAGGGGAACAAGCAGAGAAACAAGTGGGTGGCCTTGGAAATAGCAAAATCCTTTGGGAGACAATTATAATGGTTTTAGGTTGAGATAAGACCTTTACTTGGAGCTGCAGAACTGGAGCAGTTGTGGGAGGCGGGGAGATGTGTGCCAAAGGAATGCTAGACAGCTGTTTGCAGAAAGGCTCAGGGAGGGAGACTAGAACTCACAATCAGTCTGCTCCCCAGGGGATGTATTTCCCTCTCAAGCATGAAGGGAGCCTTCTTCACCAGGTCCCTGACTTTAGCATGTCATAGATCACCTGGGTGCATCTTGTGTAGTGATTCGTCATTTAAACAAGTCTTCCTGATAGGAGTGGGTTTTACCCTTGGTCATGGCAGGGCGGGGCGGGGTGGGGGGTGTCGGTCTGACTGGCAAAGGAGATGTACCTTTAGAAGACACTGTGAACATACCTTTACCAGGCCCTTTCTTCCTGAGAAGCCAAGCCCTCATTGGGTGCTCAGTGACTGAGCGAGAGCGGGTATTGTTATCTGTAGCACTGAATTCGAGGTGGGTGTTGATTGGGTGCTAAGCCATATGACACTGGGCCAGGGGCCTCAGAGAACAGATGGCTCCAGCTGTGGAAGTTGAGATCTCTAAAGCAGAGAGAGAACAGCCGCTCCTACCCCCCCCCAACCCCCCCAAACAGAAAAAGTTGCCAGGGATTGTGTTTGATTCTGTTAGCATGGGGATTGGTCGGTAGGGGGAGCAGTTCTCTGTGATGATGATCGGAAGTGCTGCTTGGGTGTAGTTGTTCCTTTCCATACTTAGTATTTATCAGGTGCTCACCATTGTTCCCGCCTGCCACGTTCCTGGTTCTCTTTTAGGTAAGGGGGTAGAAGAAAGGTGAGGAAAGTCAAGAAAGAGTCTACATTGTATTCATAACCGTTCCAAGAAAAACCACATTCAGAGCAGTGAGGGAGGACTTTCTGGAGGAGGTGACCTTTGGCGAAGGCATCGTGGATGATGATAGCAGAGAAATTCTTCCAGGTTCTGTGCACAGCAAGTGTTGTGGTCCTGCTGAGGCTGAGGTAGGCGTGGCCAGTACCATTTCACCTTGGGACCATCACTTTCCTCATCAACAGGGCAGCAGGAACACGTAGTGTGGGAATATGTGGTGGGTTTCCAGAGTCAGGCAGGGCCAGTAAACCATGGGCTTTGTTGTCCCGTCTCTCCTTTATCAACATTGCTTCCTAACGCAGGAAAATATAAACACTTATAAACAACATCCGATGCTTCTCAGACAACCTCTGTTTTAGTCTCTGATTCGGTGCCTTCTGTTTGTAAGTGATAATTCTATAATCCACATAGGTCCCATGGTTTCCCTTATCAGCAATAACTAGTATATGTCTAGGACAAGCAGAAAAGGTCAAAAGCTATGTACATATGACCAGATAAGATGATGCTAAGTGAAAGGAACCCGAAGATAGGGGCACAAGAGGTTTTATCTTTCTTGTTGTTATTTCTGATGCTTTTATAATTCTCTTTTTTTAAGTAGAAAAATTAGAGTGGAAAAGGGATATGAAGCCAGGTGCTACTTGCTCACGCTTGTAATCCTGGCTACCCATGGGGCTTAGATTGCAGGATTATGGTTCAAAACCTGCTGGGCCATGAAAGTCTGTGTGACTCTTCTCTCCAGTAAACCAGCCTCTCAGTAAAGCTGGAAGTGGAGCTCTGGCTCAAGTGTAGTAGAGTACTAGCCTTCACCCCAAAACAGCTCAAGGACAGTACCTAGTTCCTGAATTCAAGCCCCAGAACCTACAGCAAAAACAAATATACAAACAGAAATTTACAGATGACAAAATAGAAATGTTACCAATATTTTGACTCAAACTGGAGTGTTCTCTTTTGGAGTTGAGTGAATGCCAACTGAGCAACAAAGGAAAATGTATTCTTTTTTTTATATACAATGGAATTTTATTTATTTATTTTTTATTGTGAAAATACTGTACAGAGGGGTTACAATTACATGGGCAAGATAATGAGTACATTTCTTATCCAGCATTGTAGCCTCCTCATTTGTTTCCCCTTTCCATCCCTTCCCATCCTCACCCCGCCCCCCCATTTCCCCCCCACCAAAGTTGTAAAGTTCATTTTCAACATAATGACTTGTACATCTCATTGTTGCAATAGGTCCACCTGTATCCCTATTTAAATGATTTGTTTCCCCTTCCCCTCCACAAATTATACCAACATCAAATACAGTGAAAGCAGGGGTTATACCGTGGGGGAGGGACATACAAAGCAACAAAGAAATAATCTTATAAATGTGTTAGAAACAATTACATGAAAGAAAAAAACATTTGAATACATATCTTAGGCTTCATTTCCCTAACATCACCTTATCTTACCTTTTCTGCTTACCTCAGACTAGATATTGCAAATAAGGGAAACCATGGGATCTATGTTTCTTTGGGCCTGGCTTACTTCGCTTAATATAATTTTTTCCAAGCCTTTCCATTTCATAACAAGTGGGGCAATGTCATTCTTTCTGATGGAGGCATAGAATTCTATTGTGTATATATACCACATTTTCTTGATGCATTCATCTACTGAGGGGCATCTGGGTTGGTTCCATATCTTAGCTAAATAATGCTGCAATAAACATAGTTGTGCTGGTAGCTTTAGTGTGGTCTTGTTTGTGAACATTTGAGTAAATGTCCAAAAGTGGGATTGCTGGGTCATAGGGGAGTTCTATGTGGAGTCTTTTGAGGAACCTCCCTACTGCTTTCCAAAGTGGTTGAACAAGTTTATACTCCCACCAACAATGTAGTAAGGTTCCCCTCTGCCCAAATCCCCTCCAGCATCTGTTGTTATTAGAGTTCTTGATTTTAGCCATTCTAACTGGGGTGAGGTGGTATGTCAATGTTGTTTTGATTTGTATTTCTTTTATGGCTAGAGAGGTGGAGCATTTCATGTGTCTATTGGCCATCCTTCTTTCCTCTTCAGAGAACTTTCTCTTTAAGTCTTTAGTCCACTTATTTATTGGGCAGTTGTTTCCTTGAAGATTTGTTGTTGGGGGAAGTAAAATGTATTCTTGCCCAGAGCGTAGAAGTAGGGATCGAAGACTATGAACCTCTGAACAAGTGGAGAGAGCCACAATGATGTAGATACAGGATAAAAGAAATAAAAGGATGCCAAGTGTTGATGGCTCATGCCTGGCTAATCAGGAGGCTGAGATCTGAGAATTATTGTTTGAAACCAGCTCAGGTAGGAAATTCCATAAGACTATCCTCCTATTAACTACCAAAAAGCCGGAAGTGGAGCCAGGGCTCCAGTGGTAAAGTGCCAGCCTTGAGCAGAGAAACTAAGGGACAGCACCCAAGCCCTCAGATCAAGTCCCAGTATTCCCACCAAAACTGAGAGGAAGGAATCGTCAAATAAAGAAGATTCTTCTTTATTTTTATAGTTCTTTCTGGTCATATCATGAAAATTGTCAGCTTCTCATGGCAAGATGTGTATGTGATGGCATGGTGGTATGCGTACAGAAATGGGATGATAATGAAGTTAGAGGTTGTTAGGTGGTTCATCATAGACCAGTGGATTTGCCTGGCTCACCTACGAAGCAACTTCTAGTTTCCAGCATCTTTTTCTCAGAGGTAAAACAGAGTAGGGCAGGGTAGAAATTGAGCGAGCTCACCTAGTCACTACTCATGGTGACTGCACCATCTTATTATGTGGAAGGATGGTTAAACAGATGAGAACGAAAGCAAAAGTGAAATGGCTTCTGTTTACTTTCTGATTGGCAGAACTTAAAAAGGTTGATGATAAGTGGTCACGAAGCAGTCTCTTTCTTTGTGAGTATGTAAAGTTGGTGAGATCAAGTCATTCAATCAACTTGAAATAGGTTGTGGTTTCAAAGCTCCTTGGATTCCCAATCTCTAGCTTCTTCCTAAACTACTCATGCCAACGACATTTCTTCTGACGTCACTTCCTCCTTTTGTATCTGCTTTCTTCTAGGTGGTGATAGCCTGACTCCTGTCTTCCGATGCTGCACAACTGCGAGTCATTCTTGGGCGACCTTTGAGTTGATCTAATCGGTGCCTTTGAGAGCTTTGGCCTACTATGCAAGTTGAACCGCCATCATGTCCCCTTGCCGACGAGCTCGTGTGAAAGGAACATCATCTGGGTTGCAGTGTTCTACCCTTGGCTTCTGCCTGTTGCTCCCTCTTCAGTCCCAATCGTGTGTTCTCAGTCCCCAGCCTTTTATTTACCTTAGCAATTTTATCATTGGAATATTCTTACAAAGTAAGACTGCCCACAGCTTCGCGATAGAATACTTTGATGATCGTAAGTTGGCATGAGTTAGAATAAAGATGGCCTCCACAAGAATAAATGGGACCATAGGGGACAGGAATACAAGACAAGTAAAGAGAGCAAGAAAGATGACATCAGTGCAGACAGGAGTTTTGCGATGCTTGAGAATGGTGAATGGGAGAACTCTTACAGGGCATTTGATGAAGCTCCAGTTTGTTCGTTTGAGAAGGCTGTTAGGGCAGTGACAGTTTCAGCAGCCGTCATTGGGGAAATCATACATGACTCAAATTGCCCAAATAGAGAACATGGAAATTGATTTGCATTTATAGCCTCTGAAGCTGAATAGTACTTTTTTCCTTATGAGGAATCCATTGGTGGCTAGCACAGAAATGCAAGCATAACTTTTGGTCTGGACAAAACACCATCGCATTCCTTTCAAGCAATGTATACTTCAATGGGCTTATGAAACAGGAGGGCCTGTGTAAGAAGAAATGGCTGAGAGAGTGAGTAGGGTAAAAGCAGCTGCAGGGTATTTGCTTGAACTGATTTTCAGCATCAATTAAGGGTCCCGTGGCGGAAGCACATGGAACTGGCTTATCTATTGCAAAAGATGGGAAAGGGCCACAGGCTTCACAACTGAAAGACAAGCTCAAAATTCTGCTTCATTCCAGTGCTTCTGGTGACCTCCTTGCTAACCCCAGGTTACTTCACAAATTTGGAAATTCGTTTCCTTTTAAAAGACAATGCCAGCCATGCACAGGTGGCTCACACCTGTAACCCTAGCTACTCAGAAGGCTGAGATCTGAGGATCGCGGTTAAAAGCCAGCCCAGGCAGGAAAGTCTGTTGAGACTCTGATCTCTAATTAACCACCAGAAAACTGGAAGTGGCGCTGTGGCTCAAGTGATAAAGTGCTAGCCTTGAACATAAGAGCTGAGGGACAGCGCCCAGGCCCAGAGTTTAAGCCCCATGACCGACAAACAAAACAAAGCAAAACAACCAAGAAAGGACAATGCCAGAAATACTTTTAGGTCTCTATGAAAGAAAATCCTAACATTTGGTTCATTGAGAAACTCTTTTTAAACAGGTTTTTGATATTTGGTTCTAGAGGCTAAGACAATATTTAAATGAAAACAATCTGGAATTGGAAATAATGTTGCTCTCACCACTGATAGAGGAGCCTTAGCAAATGCTGCTCCTGCATTCATCTCCATTCCCCCCCCCAAAATAGTACATTCCTTCAATTTCCCTATTACAGATGGGGGTCCCAAATGGTTCATGATACACTATACTCAGCTTCATGAATGTCACTTGGCAATATCTCTTCATTTGTAATGGCTTAATAGTAGTATACGTAAGAGGAAATATAGAAATTGGCCCTTGGTGGAAGCTGTCAGAAACATGAGAGTGAAGGGTTCTTGTGGTGGTGGAAGGTAGTGAAAGGAAGAGATCGAGTTGTGACAATGCTGAACTACTAGTTTGACTCTCACCTTGACAAAAGAGTTGAGAAACATCTCAGAGCTGTGAGCACTTCAAACGTTGGTTAAAGTGACCATCATAGGTTAACATCTAGATATTAAAGAACGTTAAAGCATCCACTCTACAATCAACTTGTCACGATGATTCAGAAGAATGAGATCCCTCAGCAGAATTCATTCACCTCAGGCAAGGCTTTAAATGATGACACTCATTCCTATCAAGACCTAATAAGAACCCTTCAAACAAAGGTCACTGAGTCTTTTCTGTGTGCTTATTTAACAGGGGAGAGGAATCTAGATCAACCAACAAGCTGCTCAGACTTGTTCTCCAGACCGCATCGCACATTGAGTTCAGTCTTGGGATTCATGTTCTGATGGCTTTGAAGATGTCACCTGGGTGCTGAGCAAGAAAATGGAGCAGAAGCTTACTTCTTTCTCTATAAACACCATCAAGACTTCCCTATTCTTTTCCTGTCATACTGTCACGGCCGGTATTTTCATTGGTGCATTATGTTCTTCCCCTTGAGGTCAGAAATCCGTAGGATTTCATTACCCAGTAACCGCTATTGCTGATGTAAAATCTCTAAACTATCCCTGAGATTCACAATTTGAGTTTATCCTTTTGATCTAGAAATTTATTTCAATTCCATTCAATCCTAACTTGCTCTCTTACTAGAGAGTAGTGTGGTCTAACTTGATGAGTTTTGCATCTGTTGTGTAAGTTAGCTGATAGCTGGTCCTGAAGGACAGTACAATATGATGGATTTCTGAATTTACATTGGTATCTAGGTCAAGGAAGAGGAAGTGTTAGAGTTCATGTCCATAGTTCCTCTCTGTTCTCATACGTAGCTCCCCCAATGATTTAAACAATGCAATATATTCCAGAAAAGGGGTACTGTTACTTTTTGTTTGCTGGTGGAGAATTCATTGCCAGATTGATATTTAAAAAAAATCTTCCCTCCATAATTTCACTCATTCACTTTATTTGGCATTTTCCCTGAAGTTTTAACCACAGATGTGATAAAAATTATAAAGCTGGCAGTGAAACTCATATCTTATTTAAGAATTCTTGACCAGGACCCATAATGAACCTACTTGTTCATTTGGCCACTTATGCACATTTTCCCATTTGATGTCCACTTTGGACGTGGTTGGACAGTTATTCTGACAGAACTGTACCAAAACAAGGATTAGTGATTAGGAAAACATTCTGTATTTGAAGTTTCCAAGACCTCATGTGGCTTGAAAAGTCATATAGACAACCTGAAATAAATTTTATGTACAGTAATGAAATAAATGCTTTGCCTTGAGTAACAGTTTAAAAAAATGGCATCAGAAGCAGCGTGCTGGTGGCTCATGACTGTAATTCTACCTACTCGGGAGGCTGAGAAATGGAGGCTTGAGGTTTGGAGCCAGTGTGGGTAAAAAAGTCTGAGACTTCATGTCTAAAATAACCAGCAAGAAGCCAAAGGCTGAAGGTGTGGTTTAAGTGGTAGACCTCCAACAAAAAGCCAAGTTTTTTTTTATTAGACCCTAAGTTCAAACTCCAGTATACCCATACCCATACCACTACCACTACCACTATCACCACCACCATATCAGAAAGTAAGTTAAGGTTGCTTTTAAAGGACACAAGAAATTCACTTAAATTAACCTCAGGAGTGATGGAATCCAGTAATTTTCCCCAAATTTGAAGGTCTGAATGATAAGTGTACTGTGTGAGTTTGAAATTATCAAGAAGGGGAAATGCAAAGACAGCTTGCTTGCATAGTTATGGTTGTAATGATATATGTTCTGTAAAAAGCTCAGCGGAGGTCGAGGAAGGTTGAAAACCCATTGTAGGATCTTCAGGACTAGAGATACGACAAAGCCACTTAAGCCACTGATGTTAATTAGCCCTGACTGTATATCATAGACTTGATGGGAAGCTTTTAAAATACGGATTTCTGATACCTGTCCTCAGGTGTTTTGTGCAAGTTTCTCATGTGATTTTTAAAAATATAGTCATGGTTGAAAACCTCTGCTCCAAGAATGAACAAAACTAAGATAGAAAATATCAGACAAATGGATCTGGGCCATGGAGCTGGGAATCCCTGATACAGAGTATTTTTTTGGACACGAATTCTTTTTTTTTTTTTTTGGATCCAGTCGTGGGGCCTGAACTCTGGGCCTGGGCGCTGTCCCTTAGCTCTTCAGGTCAAAGCTAGCGCTCTACCACTTGAGCCACAGCACCACTTCTGGCTTTTTTCTTTTTGCTTAAGTGGTGTTGAGGAATCGAACCCAGGGCCTCATGCATGCAAGGTAAGCGCTCTAACCACTGAGCAACCTTCCCAGCCCCACGAATTCTTGTTATTCAAGTCATTTTTCTCTTTTCTTACTCGTCAAATGACAGACTCACTCACTTGGTGAAATTTTATGACATTTTCTGAGAGGATCACATTCTTGCTTTGATACTGTTACATTGTGGGAAAATGAGCCCCATGGTTCACAGAGATCAAGATAAGTACTAACACTGTGGTATGTTCTTGTTTTCGAAATTCTGTCTGCCATTCCAGTTTTGCCATTTTAGTCCCTTGTAGGAATGAAAGGTAGGCAAAGATGGCATAACCAAAAAGGCCAACAGGTCATCAACTTTCTGAAAATAAAGAATCTCCTATGAGTTTCTTTGTCTGTGACAACTGCAGTATTTTCCCTCATGATTATAGTGGAGAGAAAGTAGCATGTAGATAGGTAAAACACAATTTTTAAATTTTAGTTTATTTTAATTAGCATGCATTAATAATATGAAGGGGGTTATTGTGATAATTCCATAGGTCCATATATAGTACACTTTGAACAAGTTTACCCCCTCCATTATGTTTCCTTAAACTCCCTGTCTTTCCTTTCAAACAGTGTTTGGCAGGTTTCGTTCTGTCCATTTGCTATCTTTTTCTATCCACATGTATACATAGATCATTCATGTACATTACTTTTTTTGATCCTCGTTACTCCATAATATCCTTTCCTTTCCCATTTCCCCACTGCATTCCTCACCTCAGACAGTCTCCCTTTCATATTCATGTCATTATCATTATCATCATTATTAGCCATCATGATCATTCTAGGTTATAGTTCCACAAATGAGTGAAAATATTCAATATCTGCCTTTTTGATCTTGATTTGTCTCACCCAGTATGATGATTTCCAGTTCTATCCACTTGCCTGCTAATTATACAATTTTATTTTCTTTATAACTAGTATTATTTCATGGTATTTTTTGCCATATTTTCTTTATCCATTAGTTGGTTGTTGTGCACTTTGGCTGAATCCATTATTTCTCTCTTGTGAACAGAGACACAATAAGCATGGATGTTGTTGAATTGTTTTGTGTGTGAGCATCCATACTATTTCCATAGACGTTGCACTAGTTCACATACCTACCAAGTATAGTTTCTTTTCTTCATATCCTCATTCTGACTATAATAAAATGGAATCCTAATATAGTTTTAACTTATATATATATATTTATACTTACTTTTGTAACACTTTGTGTATTTCTATAAGCGGAACAATCAGTATCATTAATATTTTAAGGTTCAATGGGTAATTTATTCCACTTTTATTGTGGCACTACTAGAGTTTGAACTTGGCACCTTGTATTTGTCAGGCAGTTGTTCTACCATTTGAGTTATATACCCTCAGCCCCTTATTGCTGTAGCTATTTTTCATGTACAGTTTCACTGTGTGCCTGGTGCTGGCTGTAGATTACTATTCCCCTACTTATGCCTCTTGCTTACTGCCCTTACAGGGACACTCCATCGTATTCAGTGTATTTCACATGGATTTCTCTTGTTTTTGCCAATGTTGACCTTGAATCATTGTGCTCCTGATCTCTACCTCCTGAGTAATGGGAATTACAGTCATATAGAGAATTCCTCTTAATTATGTGTAGAGGTAAATTTTATGTCAGTGATCTTTTTCTCAGAATAGTCTGTGGTTCAGTATACCTGATAGCTCCCAACAGTAATCCTAACTACTCAGGAAACTGAGATCTGAGGATTGTTGTTTGAAGCCAGCCTGGTCAGGAAAGTCCACGAGACCCTTACCAATTAATCATGGAAAGCTGGAAGTGGAGTTGTGGGTCAAGTAGTAGAGCACTAGTCTTGACCAAAAAAGCTCAGGGTCTATACTCAGATCCTGAGTTCAAGCTCTAGGACCAGCCTCCCCCAAACACTTACACACAAAATGTGCTTCATCTAAAAAATTATATTTTAATTAAGGAATTGCACAAAGGGTTTACAATTTGACATGTCAGTTTATGTGTACAATGTATCTTCATCACTATCTCCCCTTTCATGAGCCTCATAGTGAAAGATGAGCTTTTCTGGGAATTTTACCATTCGTTATTGGGGCTACTGTCTGTATTATGATTTCTCTTAATTTAACCAGAATTAGAGAAATCAAATTTTCAATTAAGTTACATCAAGTAGGAATTATTCATATAAAGTAATGGAATGAGAAATTGACCATTATATGATTTTAATTGTTGTAAGAATGCATAGAATTTGGCTTAGTAGAAATAAGCATTTGTCTAGGACCCAAGTAATTTGAACTGAAGCATTTAGATAAATTTAATTCTTGTTTAAGACAAAGTCTACTTGAAATAATTAAGAAATGTTAATGATTAGGGTTAGTGTTAAAACATTTTATTGAAGTTGAGTTGAACAGGTCAGTAGAACTCATAGGAAGATGTGAAATTTGGTATGAGCCAAGTAGTAGTAATGGAATTTAGTGAGGTTCTGCTATATATTATTCTTTAAATTAAGATATCCCTGTATTAGGGCTAATCTCTCTACTTATGTTCTTCCTGTGGTTATAGTTGATGCTTTTATGCATTTGTTTTCTTCATGAATATAGACTATGGTACTGGCGATTATAACATATATGTGCACACATACGTGTGTGTGTGTGTGTGTGTGTGTGTGTGTGTGTGTGTGTGTGTATGTTGGTTGTGGGGCTTAAACTCAGAGCACTGTCCCTGTGCTTTTACACTCAAGGCTAGTACTCTAGAACTTTGAGCCACAGTGTCACTTCTGTTTTTCTAGTGGTTGAGTGGAGGTAAGAGTCTCACGGGGGCTTTTTTGCCCGGGGTTGGTTTTGAACCATGATCCTTAGATATCAGCCTCCTAAGTGGCTAGGATTTCAGATGTGAGCCACTGGTGCCTGGCTGTTACATATATTTTAACCTGTCTATAAGTTTTAAATTTTTCTTTGTAACTAAAAAATAGTTTTAACTATATTTATATTTTCTCATTATCTTGCTAGAATGAGAAATAGACAATAATCAATAATTGGTAACTAGTAATGATGTTTCTGGTTTTTTTTTAACCAAAAAAAATGAATAGCCTGACAAACAAGGTATAGTGAGGTACACCAGTAATCTCAGTACTTGAGAAGTCGAGGCAGGTGGACTGTGACTTCACGGCCAGACTGTGCTAAACAGTGAATTCCAGGTCAGCCTTAGGCTACATAATGAGGTATGTCTCAAATATAATTAAATTGAAAAGCTAGAATTTATTTTAGTAAGCCTTAGGAACAGTTTTGTGTGCAAGTGGTTTGGGTACATTCTGTAGAAGCACATGCAAATTTCCTTCTTTATAAGCACGTTCAACTGCAATGGCAAAAAGAACAAACTAGAAAAGAAGAGATGAGGTGGGCAGCATAGTGTGCAGAAATGTGGAGTGTGTATTAGAAAACTAGCATTTAATTTTAAAAGATCCTTTTTTTTAAATCTTTAAGTTCAAATTGCTGATAAAGCTCTTTAAATTAAACATTGAGATCACCTAGCTACTGCCACTTGAATGCTAGTAAAGGGTGGCAGGGGTGTGTTTAGTTTAAGAGTGAATGTGAGCAATGTTTGTGATGTAGAATACATTGATCCCTGAACTTTGCTTAGTATTTGTACCATTTGATGCTCTTTAATGTCAGGCAACATATGCTCTGCCCAGAATTTATGTACTTTGATGAACCATAAAATCAAACAAAATTGAAGAAAGAATAAATAATGTTGTATCAGCATAAATAACCAATACTGATTGAGAAATTGAGAACTTAGTGTATCTGAGACACTGCACTTTATCTTGCATTGCTAAGTAGCCCATCCTTGCAAACACTTAGAGTGAAAAAGTCACAGGGCTTTATGTGAGGACTTTGACACTGATTTCTCTGCTCTTTGTTGGGAATTTCTTCTCTGAGTCGTGGTACTTAGTCCTGGAAATATAGTCCTTAGGTTATTGGAGTTTGAGCCTACACCCTGGAATAATGTAAATCTGTTTTCAGCTCCTATCACTGCCAAGTACCACCTAGACATCTGTGGGTATGTTTCCTAATCGTTGCAGACTTTATTTTCTAGTCTATAAAATGGGGTTTACTTCCTTGCATGATAGGATGGCTGTTAGATTTATATGAGATGTTTAGTATAGTGCCTGGCACACAGTAAGCACTCAATAAATCATTGCTATTATTATTATTATAATACCTTAATAATCATTATGTAAATGGAAAATGAGCATTTATTCCTGTCTTGGCAAAATTTTAATGTTTAAATTTCCTCAAAATAAGGTGTGCATGATGGTTTTTAAGAGGACTAAGAAATGACTTTTAATACTTTTCTATTTGCTGACAAGGGACACCTAAATAGTGATTCATTTATTACTATTACAGCTTGGCCTGCAGTGATTCTTTATATTTATGTAATGTGATTATCATTAGATGACATTATTTATATGGTAATGGCTTTTGACACAGGTATATTCATATTCTCTAGAATGAAGTATTGTTGAAAGATAATTAAATCACATGTCCCAGTCTATAGGGTATATTTAATTGCTTAATATTCTCTTTAAGTCTCCAGCCCTAATAAATTAGGAAATCTTCTCAGACTCTTATTCTCCTTCGTAGGGACCCTGAATGTAAGACTTTCTGTATAGTCACCTAAAATACTTGCCAAGAGTGCCATTCTTAGTTCCTGCCAACCTCATTTCCTGATATACCATATGACATGGCATTTTTCCTCTATTATTGTGCTTCAAAATGTCTTTGAATGTGAATACCAGACTTGACGATACTTAAGTTTACCATATTTGACATTTAACATCTAAAGTATGCCTTGGCAAAACTAAGGCTTTCAGATTCCATCCAACCTGACTGTTAATTTGTTTTCTGTTGTACTGTGGTTTATACTCAGAGTTTTGTGCTTGCTATGCAGATGCTCTACCATTTGAACCATCTTGTGAGCTCCCAACTCTTATTTGTTTAAAAATAAAGTCACGGAAACATGACCATCCCCATTCTTCAACTTGTTTATCACACTGCAACAGACAAATATAGCCTAAAAGCCTAAAATATTTAGTTTAATCCTTTACATAACATATTTTCTCAATTTGATCTAAAGCCAAGAAGTTCTAGCTTAGATACTGATTTTTCTTTTACTTCCTCAGAAAGGCCAAGAAGACCATCTCAGAGAAGTTCTAATCCATTTAAACTTCTTGATTTGGCTCAAATTTCCTTCCTTCCTTTGCTACCTAATAATGCCCTTCCCCTGTTGTTTTCTACAATCATAACAACTAGTCATATATCTGTCTTTTAATGTACGCCCTAATATATGAGACTTTTGATATAGCCTTCAAACATTTCAGATCGAACCTTTTCTTTGTTTAAGGTCCCTTAGTGCTTCTAAGCTCCATAGCTTCACAATATCCCTAATTACCAAGTATTTCCCATATAACAACACCCATGTCTTTCAGTTTCTGGCCTGCAGCATCTTTACTGCTTGGATTTTGGAATCTCCCTAGTATTAAGTTTATTAAGTATTATAATATTTCCATCAATATTTCAGGTCAACATTTCCAGGTCCAGATTTCTTAGTCTTCTATAGTCACAATCTTTCAATATTTCCTGTATGTAGTGTGTCTGGAGTCCATATATGTAGTGCTTCAGTGTCCAAGTCTAGCTTTTCTAATATCTTCTACTGCTTATATCATTACTTTCCCTATCTCTTCTTCTCTCTTAAATCCTGGTTTACAAGTGTCTGTTTATTACTACTCTTTCAATATTCCTAAGAACTTTGGCTTCTAACATTTATATAGTTTTATGTCCCCAGTGTTTAACAACGTCTCTTAACATCCAGATATCTTTATATCTAGATCCCAGCATTCTTGTCTTTGAGCATCATTTAAATGTAATTCTTGAAATCATATGTTTTGATGAGTATGTTAGTATCTAGGTTTTCCTTTGTCTCCTAGTCTGTGCCTTCTATTTTTAAGACTTTTAGATGTCCCAGTCCTCTACTACCCATATCCAGCAGTGTTTAGCAGTTCCAGGGTATAGAAATTAACATGTCTCTAATAGCCACGATTTCCAGTGTCTGCCTTTCAGTATGCATTGTCATAATATTCAGGGCCTCCAAAAATCTGCAGTAACAATAACCACTGTGTCCCAAATGCAAGGTTTTCAATATCTCCAACATCCTGTGCTTCCAATGTTTCCAATGTCCAGGGTTTCCAATGGCGCCAGTGTCAAAGTCTTCCAACATCTCCAGGTCTTCCAGCAACCGCAAGTCTTCCAATAACCTCAAGGTCTTCCAGAAATCCATGTCTTCCAGAAAATCTACATCTTCCAGATAATCCACGTCTTCCTGCAATGATAAGTCTTCCACAAAATCCAGCTCTTCCAGGAGAATCCACGTCTTCCAGAAAAATCCATGTCTTCCAAAAATTTCAAGGTCTTCCACCAAGTTCAAGGTCTTCCAGCCAATCTCCATCTTCCGGGAAAATCTGTGTCTTCCATGAAATCCTAGTCTTCCGAGCAATCCAGGTCTTCCAGAAAAATCCCAGGTCTTCCAGTTGATCACCGTCTTCCAGCAAGAAATCCAAGTCTTCCAGTCAGTCCACGTCTTCCAGAAAAATCCATGTCTTCCAGCCAATCCAAGTCTTCCAGAAGAAAATCCAGGTCTTCCAGCAAATCTATGTCTTCCACTCAATCCAAGTCTTCCAATAAAGCCACGTCTTCCAGAAAATCCCTGTCTTCCGATAACCTACAGGTCTTCCAGCCAATGTATGTCTTCCTGAAGAGTTATATCTTCCAGAAAATCAGTGTCTTCCAAACAATCCAGATCTTCCGGACAATTCGGGTCTTCCTGAAAATCCACGTCTTCCATGAAAGACAGGTCTTCCAGCCAGTCTACGTCTTCCGATGACCTCCAAGTCTTCCAGATGATCCATGTCTTCCAGAAAATCCTTGTCTTCCATCAAATCCATAGCTTCCAGAAAAATCCATGTCTTCCAGATAATCCACGTCTTCCAGCTAATCCACAGCTTCCAGAAAATCCATGTCTTCCAGAAAATCCACGTCTTCCAGAAAATCCATATCTTCCAGAAATTCCCCGTCTTCCAGAAAAATCTGTCTTCCAACTAAGTCATCCATGTCTTCCAACAAGTCGATGTCTTCCTACACCTCCAGGGCTTCCAGCATCTCCAGGGCTTCCAGCATTTGCTTGTCTTCCAGCATCGCCGTGTCTTTCAACATCTTCAGGTCTTCCTACAACTTACCCAGTCTTCCATCAGCGAGCTCAATATCCACGTCTTCCTACTTCTCCAGTGTACCAGTCTTCGGACATTCAGGTTTTCCTGTGTCTGCAATATCCAGGTATTCTAACATGCTTTACAATCTCTTTCAGCTTTTCCCCAGGTTAAGGAGTTTTCAAATCTAGTCTTTCCTATGTTCAGTTCCTCAACAGTCAAATAACCAAACTCAAGTGTGACTTCCTGTTTCAAGTATGCAAACAAGGCATTTCTTTTTATAGGCTAGAATTAAGGAACCAAGTATTCTGCAGTTTATTTTTCTTGATATTGGGACATATATATTTATTCTCTACAATTTTTAAGGTAACGTTCAGAAGAAAATTTCACAGAATCACTGCAGTAAAGTTTGCTACTTTGCTAATGCTAGCGCAAGGGAAATTTTTATTTTAGTGTGAAAATTTAATTTTTAGATTGTAGTTTTAGATAAAATTAACATAGAATATGTTTGTCCATTTTTAATAACATCAAATTTGGTGTGGTATTATTTGAAATAATAATAATAATAACAACAACAACAACAATAACAACAGCAACCATACATAGCATTTCTGTTTCCAAGCACTGTTCTAACGTCCTTACATGCATTAATTCATTTGATCTTCACAAAAAACCTTTTTAGGGATATATTATGAGATCTGAGAATCACAATTCAAAGCCACCCCAGGAAGAGAAATCTGATCAATTCTTGTCTCCAATTAACCAGAAAAAACCAGAAGTGGAAGTGTGGCTCAAGTGGGTCAATTCCAGCCTTGAGAAAAACCTAAGCAAGAATATGAGACCCTGAGTTCAAGGTCCAGTACCAGCACAAACAAAGAAAAATAAGATGAGAATTATAGGATCTAAAGTTTGATTATTCACACAGTGTGTAGAATGTTGTGAAATCTTAAATATAAATGGGCTTCCTTAATCCAGCCACTGTCAGAACCCATTTGTAGTAACAGCTTATTAACACATGTCAACCAGCTATTCCCATTCCCTTGCTCATATATTGGGATGTAGGTACAGTTTCTGAAAACTGTTTTCCATTGTAATAGGATGGATATAAGAAAAAACTTGCCTCAAGTACTCTTTGCTTTAGATGCATATTCATAGCTTCATACCTTGAATATTAGTATGTGAAAGTCAACTTTTCATCCCTTATCACTGACCATTCTACTTTTTGAACCTTATTATCCAGACCGCTTACTATTAGTTTGCTTCTGACACTCAAGATCCACCTGCTTCTTCAAATATCACTGACCTCCTGGGTTCCTGATCTCTACTTTGTGTCCAACTAATGGTAACTACCACTCCTTAAATCCCAGCATGCTGACTTAGAGAACTAACTGCTTGGTTCTCCAAGTCTCAACGCTCTTCATCAGGCATTTTGCAGCGATGTTGCTACCCATGCCTCTGGCTGGTGATATGAACAACATGAAAGCCACAAAGTCAAAGTATAGTTAGGCAAGTGACCTCTAAAAAATTTAGACTCATCTACATAGCAGTAAAAGGAACATCAATAATAACAATTAAAATAGAAATACCTTCTGAATTACAATTTATAAAGTGCTGTCACTTCACTTACTCATCTATCAATCCATTCACCAAATATTTATTGAGTGCCAACTTTGTGTGCCAGACATGTCTTAATGGAGTTTTAAAATCAGTTGTGGGAGGTATTTATAGGAAATGCAAAAGTAACCATCAATTGTTTATTGGTATTCTAAGGCCATGAAGGAAAAGTAAGTATATTGATGCTGTGACAGTTTGGAAAATGAAGAAAGCATTCCTGAGAAGTAACATTCATGTTGATTCTGGAGAATCTAGTTCTTTGTCTGGCTGTCAGAGTAACCTTGTGACTTAGCTAAGAACAGTAATAATAAAAACCATGACATCTGGGCTGGCAAGGTGGCTCAGTGGTAGATTGCTTGCTGTGCATGAAGCCCTGGGTTAAATTCCTCAGCATCACATAAGCAGAAAAAGCTGGAAGTGGCGCTGTGGCTCAAGTGGTAGAGTGCTAGCCTTGAGCTGAAGAGCTGAGGGACAGTGCCCAGGCCCAGAGTTCAGGCCCACAACTGGCAAAAAAAAAAGACATCTAGTTGTTTTATCAAATTTTTATAAACATTTACTTAGTGTTAAGTAGTTGTACGGAGGGGTTTCAATTCAACATATCAGTTTATGTGTGCAATGTGTTGTTTTGACCTCTGTTTAAATCCCTTCTACTCAACCCTGCCTTAATCAAGGAATATATAATGCTTTGACTCTTTGATTTATTATTTTCACTTTGGAAAATTTATCCAAGCAAAGTATTTAAAATGTGGAAAATACACGCTGAGCAAGGCAATACAAACTGGTAATCCTAGCACTTGGCTGAATCAGGAGAATTGGAATTTAAGGCCAGTCTAAGGTTCATAGTGAAAGCTTGTCTCAAAGAAAATATTTAAAAATGGTTCTCACATATTTTATTTGGGATAATGAAAACCAGAAAAACCTTACAGTCTAGCTTTATAGAATGATTAAGTAATTGGCGAAAACCAGAAAAACCTAGCTAGGCTAGCTTTTAGATAATGATTAAGTAAATGTGCTATTTATGTATAATATTCTGCCATTAAGATATTTATGGAGTACGCATTGCAAAATACTAAGAGAAAAATAATCATATAAAATGTGACTGCAGCTATTTTAGAGTATGTAATCAGGGACAAATGACTAGAAATAAACACATTGTGAACTAATTATCGCTTATAAATATTGAGCAAGATTATGGTGATTTTGTTTTCTTCTTTGTATTCTTGTTTTTTCCCCAAAGTTGTAATAATGTGAAGGTATCTTCTGTCAGGAAAAGTGTTTAAGCAATTATACACAAGTGTATTATTTATTCATCTTTTTACCTGTTTTATTGTTGAAAAATACCTGAAAATGTAAGTAAACAAAGTGGAAAGGTTAAATTCTCAATCATAATACACAGAGAACATCACTATTAAGACTTTGATGTATGTCCTTTCAGGCTTTCTGACAAGTGTGCTTATTTTCTAACTCTCAGTAACTACATCTATGTTCTAATCTTTGGACATAATTTCTTTGCTACACATTTTGGTGGGTACTAAGTTTGTTCCAATGTTTAGTCCTATGAAAACCTGGTGAAATGACTATATATTGTGCAAGTTGTATTGAAAATAAACTATATCACACTACATGGTGGTTTATCACATATTTCTGTGCAAATTGGTTCATTTATTACCTAGGATCAGTAAGTAAAAGGAGAGTTATTGAACCACAGGGCATATAGATCATAATGCTTACCACAAAAACATTTACAAGCAATCAAGATATCCAAGAGTCATAAATGCTTAAAAAATTACTTGTAGAAAGTAGGCAGGCACCAATGGCTCACACTTACAACCCAAGCTACTCAGAAGATCGAGATTAGGAGGACTGAGATTTGAAGAAAAGTCCATGAGACTTCATCTCCAAATAACCAGCAACAGGGCTGGGCTTGGAGATATGAATCAAGTGGTAGAGTGCCATCAGTGAGCAAGAAAGCTGAGTGAGAATGTGAGCTCTGAGTATAAGTCTTGATACAAATAAATAAATAAAGACAGTTAAAAAATCCAAAAAATTAGATAAATTTTTATTTGTGTATCGCCAGTCCTGGGGCTTGAACTCAGGGCCTGAGCACTGTCCCCGAGCTTCTTCTTTTTTTTTTCTGGAGTACTGTTACTGTTTTTTTTAAATTTAATTTTATTTTATTTGTGAACATACTGTACAGAAGGGTTACAATTGCATGGGCAGGATAATGCGTACATTTCTTACCAAGCATTGCAGCCTCTTTTGCCCAAGGCTAGCACTCTACCAGTTGAGCCACAGCACCCCATCTGACTTTTTCTGTGTATGGGGTGCTGAGGAATCGAACACAGGACTCCACGCATGCAAGGCAGGCACTCTACCACTAAGCCACCTTCCCAGTTTGATAAATTTTGATGTACTTACACTATGGGATATTTTTAACAGTAACATAAATGTACTACTCTTTACATATAATATTATGTGAAGATTTAACTTTCAGAATGTTAAGGAAGATACTATGTCCCCAAAGACTACATAGAATGGTCTGTTTTATTCAAAACAAAGAAAACTAGACATTATATTTTAAGCATACAAGTCTATGACATATAATAATTTATTTTAAAAAGACATATCAATAAAAATTCAGGATTATGGTCATAACATAGAGGAAAGCCAGTCAGAATACCAACAGACCATATCAGTGGTTATCAACTGTTGTTAGTATCCTAGTGCTGAAGTCTGTTGAGTGGGTGGCTGGATGTCACTATATAACTGAAATCATTATTGAATGATTAAATGATTTGCTAAAATTAAATAGAACAAGTTAATAAAAATAAAAGCTAACACATGGATCAAAGAGGTATATTATAATCTAGAGATTATTTAATCTAATTGTGTGCCCTTGACTTTCATTATTTATATGGGTAATTGAAATGCATGTGGCTTTTATTCTCCTTTGACTTTTTATTCTCTATACATTTTCTATGTTTTTAAAAAAGATTTCTATTCCAAACATGGATTATTTTCAAAGTTCAAAAATCAGTTTAAACTTTGTTAATGAATTGTGTGTGTGTGTGTGTGTGTGTGTGTGTGTACTAGTCTAGGGTTTGAACTCAGAGCCTGGGTGCTGTCCACATGAGCCTTTTTGTTCAAGGCTAACACTCTACAACTTGAGCCACACCTGTACTTCCGGTGGTTTGGTGGTTAATTGGACATAAAAGTCTCATGGACTTTCTTGCCCAGGCTGGCTTGGAACTGTGATCCTCAGATTTCAGACTCTTGAGTAGCTAGGATTAC